ATATTAGGATCATCTTTAAATTTGTTACTACATGATAATTTAATATGAGACCACAGAACTGATAACAGTTTGTATGAACAATGAGATAAGCCCGGAGATCAATGGGCCTGTATACCACATATTTATCAGAAGAAAAAACTAATTGGGTAGATCACTCATCACCTCTACAGTAGCCGGCTCTGTCCACATCATATCTTAGTCTGAACGAAACTTCCTGTTTGTTTTGGTTTTCTTTGAAAATTAGACAGTGCGCTTGTCTAACCAGCTATCAGCTCAGTGTCCTCTCAGTCACCCTGAAATCTCAGCTAATCCCTCGGGAGGCAAAGTACAGCTGCTGTCAGCAGTCTGGCACAGTCTTCTCTCTGTTTATATTTTCACTTGTTTCCTTCTGCCTCCCTGCCTGCTTTCAGTGAGTCTGCATCGAACGAGGAAACACAGGAGACAGCTGCAGCATTTACCTGTGTTTAACTTGTTCAGCCTAATGTGTCACAGTTGCCTAATGTTTGACATTTGTATTTTATTAGATATGACACACTGATATTAATAAGCTAACTGTGTATTCACCTCTGTTGAATTGGTGTGGACTTGAGGTTCTCAGACATTTAATGCGACAGATAAACAGAGAGACGGGTATTCCTTCAAAGCTCAGGGTTCAGACTGGTTTAAATGCTCAGTTTTGCACAATTTTTCAATAATCTTATGCATACAGCTCTGGTTGTAAGCATGACACCTCCACCCACCTGCTGTTCAAGCCTTCAGTTTGTTAAGGTTGACCAATCGATACAAGTTTGCTTAAGCTGAATGGAACTAAAAGACAAACTACACTATATTGTCAAAAGTATTCACTCACTCATCCAAACGAATCACTTTTATGGCCACAGGTATATAAAATAAACCACCTAGGCATGCAGACGGCTTCTACAAACATTTTCAAAGAATGGGTTGTTTTCAGGATGCACCAAGTCCAGTCATTAAATCACGCTTCTCCGTGTGGCGAGTCTGGGTTTGGTGGTTGCCAGGAGAACGGTACTTGTCTGACTGCATTGTGCTAAGTATAAAGTTTTATGGACGGAAGATTAAGGTGTGGGGTTGTTTTTCAGGAGTTTAACTCAGCCCCTCGGTTCCTGTGAAAGGAATTCTTATGATTTAGCATACCAAGACATTTTGGACAATTTCATCCTCCCAACTTTGTGGGAACAGTTTTTGGGATGTCTCTTTCCTTTTGGTTTTGGTGGCCTGACATCATATTAAAACCTAT